AAAAAAAAAAAAAAAAAAAAAAAAAAAAAGAAAAAAAGAAAAAAATGTATGCACATGAATAAATCTATGAGCCACTATATATCTTATTCTTTATTTATAAAAAATATAAAATGATGAACAAACTATTTCATAAACTTACTCGTTCTTGAAGAGGATACCATTTGGGCGTAGGATCATCGAAGATTTTGTTCTCCAAGGGCATTCGAACCTCGCCGAGGAAATCGTTGCGTCCAAACATGTCTGAATGCCAAACAGTCAGCCATAATGTTCTGGTCTCTAGGCCGCTCAGACTCATATGGAACTGAAATATGGTTGCGTACCGTCCAAGCTCTAACTCTCATGCAGGAAAGAATGGAGGGGCAAGCAAGAATTTTTTTGTGCTCGAGATTTGAAAATGAAACGTCAATCTTACCTTCAATGTCTCGTTAAATTCAGGATTCAGTGTGTGCTTCTTCACTTTTGTCTTTCGTTTCCCGCTCTTTGATTTGTCAGGTAATAAATACACTTTCACGTATCTGAAGGAATAGTTTGCGGTTAATTTATTGAAAAGAGAATTGATTTGAAAAGAGATTGATTTTCTTTATGCATTAACTGTATATTGGAGTCACATATATATGAATTATTATATTTTAATTTGATTGTTTTTTATTTGATACTTTAGTTAAAAATTGAAATGAGAGATCTTTCCTTTCTTTTGTGATTAATCAAAAGTCAGATGTATAATTAAAAATATTGATTTCATTATACAGTTTTTGCAATCTTGATCTTCTTAAAGAACAAAATTGAAGAAATTTTCAACTTTTACAAGTTTTTTTTTTCTAAATTTCATTCTATTACATGTTATAATGATAAATGAAAATAATTCTACTTTACATCTGTAAGAAAGAAATGTACTAACGTGTTGAAAGCTCCTACAAATTGGCAATAACTATTCGCAAGTAAGATAACAATTAGTAAATTGGAAAGAACATATACAATAATTTCAATACAATCAACTTTTCTAAAGATTCTCGAAACAAAATACAAAAGTTGGTATATACTCAACAAATAAGTCTCAGATGACATTTTTACATACCAACTTTTGTCTTTATTTTTGCCTTTAGAATTAACTCTTCAAAGAACATTCATGAATACAATTAACACTCTATATCTCTTTGGGACACATTAATACTCTTAATATGCATGAGAGAATATTTTCAAATCCAGAAATAAGCAGAAACACAAATTACATAATATTAATATTCCATCTCATTAATTAAATAATTCAAAATAATTTATTTTTCTGTAATGTTTATTGAAATGCAACTTCATGGACCTTTTTTTTTTTTAATTTAAAAAAATTTGTGCCTCAAAGAGATATAATATATTAATCTGACAGATCATTATATCATGAGTATTTAATTTATTTTTCTCTAATGCTTATTGAAATGCAACTTCTTGGACCTTTTTTTTTTTTTTAATTTAAAAAAATTTGTGCCCCAAAGAGATATAGTACATTAATCTGACAGATCATTATACCATGAATATTTAATTTATTTTTCTCTAATCCTTATTGAAATGCAACTTCTTGGACCT